TAGTCATTTAATTATCCTCTTCCTCATGAAACGTATTGAACTTCTCTCTCTCTCTCTTTCTCAACCTCTGAATTTCGAACGCACGCTCAGCAGAAAGAAAGAAGTGAAATCTTTGATCTCTTCATCTCCCTCAATCACCATCGCTAACACTCTTCTTTTTCCCCTCTAATAATCTGATCACCGCCTGTAATCTTTTCTTCCCTTCCCGTCGCTGCTCTCCCTCGCGAGACCATCACCCCGCGACCTTGCGCCATATTTCCTGTCGCAAGCAACCGAGGACCCCGGCGTCCGAGAAGAGCAGGAATTTTCCGGCGTCGTGAACCTTCAGCCGGCAACCTCCGAGCACCACCTTCTTCCGGCGATCAGCAACCGAGCCTCACACTCCATCATCATTCGAGAAACAGCAGCTCTTAGGCCCGTAGTCGAAGGTTCCGAGCTCAAAGTCGTTCGTTCGACCCGTTGTCGGGCCCATTTTCCATTTGATAACTTGTAGTTTCTCTAAGTCAGGTAACTTATTCGAATCCTCTCGTTATTACAGTCGTTCTCATATATCGCGTGATATATATATATATATATATATATATATCATACGTGCTATCCAATTCGTGTTTAAAGTCGGTTTTCTTTCGAATTATCCGTCGGCTTTTATATGTCGTTTCGTTTATTGGGTTATGTTCGTGACTCCGTTAAATCGAGTATGATGTAGTTACTGTGAGATACCATATTGTGCTTGTTTATTGCTGTTAAGAAGTCATTTTAAGCGTAGTCGAGCTTAGAACATTCGTTATATGTGCCCATTGCTATTTCATGTGAAATCGCATGTTCGTTGTTTCTGTTGTACCTCAGTTTAAGCCATCAGAGACCGATTATTTGAAGTTGCTATCTTCTTATGAAATGTAGTATGTTCAGTTGTATATATCTGGGATTTGGAATTTTGTAATTCCGATTTGAAACGAATAAATTATGATGTTTACAAAATTGTTGCGCGTTCAGTTTTTGATTTCACTGTTGCAGCAGATTGTCTGTGTTTGTCACTATTTTTCAGTGACGGGATTCCTTTAATGTCTTCATAAAAGTTTTAGTTCCTTGAGTTATCTTCCAGGAGGAAAAAGAATTGAATGATTATCATTTTTATTTTGATAGTTACGTCGAAAATATGAACAACGCGCAGTCTGTTTTCAAAGTTTCAAAGGAAAACAATGGTTCCTTCTGTTTTGCTGTTTTTAACATATTTCCCAATACATGGGAAGGTTGATGTATTCTGATGATTTTTAGATCTATCTCTTTGGTTTCAAATAGTTTTTGAATCACTCAAAAATAACTTTTGTGTAAAACGATGCGTTCGCATTTCGAAAGTCGCGCAATCCGTTTTTTTTTTTCAAAATTCTGCAGCTGCAAAATGTTGGTTAAGCCCTATGAGATCTTGAAACAAGTTTTGATTAGAGTTTTAGATGAAATTGTTGAGTCTTTGTTGTTTGTGCTCAAGTGCCGAAAGATGTGAATTCTAGCATAATTTGTTATAGTCGGAAATTTGTATGAGGCATGCTTAAATAGTAGAGGTAAAAGAAAAACTTATATATGTAACATTCATGCCTTGTTTTAATATTGATTATTGGAGGACTTAATGGTGATTAATCTGACAGGACAATTTGAGTTTAATTCGTGATGGTTGAGAATAATTGTTATGTGTTATTTGCATGAGATTGGTGATTTTTCGAGCCTTTGAATTTGTTGTTAAAGTCCTCCAGTTCAGTATATAGAGTTGTTCGTTCTTCTTGTGCTTATCTGTCCCATTTTCCCTTATCTGCCTTAGCTGTCTGCTTTGTGTGTCATATCTACTTGGAGTAGTGAGGTAATTTTGATGGGAGTTGTCTCGCTTAATGTTAGGTTCTTGAGGAGTCGAACCCTCGACCTACGTTTCTGCTATTTGAGTGTTTTGTCTACCTCGTCATCCAGGTGGGTACAGTTTATTGTATCTATATTTATCGCACTAGTTATTTCGTATAAATGTTCGTTTCGATAACTGAAGTATGCTTGAGAACCCTAGTCTAGTGTGTTACACCGCCAGGGGCGTCTCGCCTATAGTGCCTTTGATGAATGCGAAAATAGTGAGAGGTCACCTGATCCATGTGTGAATTTCGGGGGGTGACGCCCTGATCCGTGTGATGTTCGGGGGGGTCCTTTTGGCTCCACTGTCTCCCGGAGAGGATCCTTTTGCCTATGTCGAGCTAGGGAGGGAAGGTTTCCGGTTACTCCTTGCCGATGAGATGATCGGAAGGTTGTTGTATGTACATAGGAGGTTTTGCGATAGGGCCGAATAGGGAGTTAGACCTGGATTCCATGCATACTCTATTTATGGTTTTGGATCTTTATGCGAGATAGACTTATGCGATATTGGTGAGCATAGTGGTTTTTGCTCACCCTCATTGTTTGTTTTGTCCTCTTGTTTCCTCTTCCTATCTTTAGGTTGAGCATTGTTGGCGGCGGCAGCGAGAGACGAACAAGTGGTGGTCATTGGATCGTCATGTCTTTGCTTCCGCTTTTATTATTTATGTTGAATTGTTAATTATGGATTATGATTCTTCCGCTTAAATGTTTTGAACATGTTGATAGGATTATGTTGAAACCTCGTGATTTTGGTTTTGAAAACTTATTATAACTTGGTTTGATTAATGTTGTTAGAGATGCATGTGTAGGTTCTGGTGCTTGGTTTTAATTGTTATCTTTGTCGGTAGTTAAGTAGCGCCCGTTTAAGTTCAAAGTTTTTAATTTAGAAATTTTGCGAAAAATTTACTTTGATTTTTATAAATAAATTCGGTAAACTCTTTAAAATAAAACGGGGCGTTACACAAACATCCATTCACAAAAAGTGCTCCACAATTAAAAATAAACACAAATAAAAACAAAACAAAACCCATTAATATACATAATTATGAGAAATATCCTAAACAACATAAATAATAATCAACCAAGAAACTGTTACTTGCTCATTTATCAATTTCGGCGTCAACAACAAAAATAAATAAATAAATAAATAAATAAAAACTTCTAATACACAAAACATAAACTACGAATAAAATCCAATAAATATGAAACAGACCGTGAAAACCTTCTAATATACCAGACATAAATTATGAATAAATATTAAATAAACAATGAAATAGATCTTATCAAAAGTATTCGTATGTCGCCACAACTCACAAGCAAACTGTCGTAGGGTCATTAAGATTGTATCGACGGGAATATATACTAAAATTATACTGTATATAAACGCAACATATATTGTCGACATCGTAGGGTCGTTGAGATTGTCCAAGATTATATCTTCTTTTCTTATTTTTTGTTTCAACCTCTGCTCGTCAATGTGATCTACGCTCACAGCTTCCTCAAATTTGTCACTCTCGGTTGGATTGTCATTTTCAACGATAAAATCGGGGTCCTCTATGGCGTCTTCTTCGAACAATTTGGATTTCTTTAATTTTGGCCGTCTTCGGGTCTTATTTTGTTGAATTTCACTTCGATTTAACGACGAATTTTACCCGTATTTTTGCCATAACCCCCGGGCTTCAATTTCTTCTTGGGATTTATTTCTCCTTTCTAAACCACGTTTCCAGCGCATTTTGCTTGGAGATGTCGGAGGCGTGAACTCGACCGCACTTGTGGAGTCTCTTCGTTCATCGCTCCCAACATGCCAATATTCACTCTCGATGAGTTTAAACTAACCTCCGACACAGAAGAAGAAGCAGAAGGAGGAGGAGGAGGAGGAGGAGGAGGAGGAGGNNNAGGAGGAGGAGGAGGGCTAAGGCGAGGGAGAGGGAGAGGGAGAGGAGAGTTAATGGAATCCCATAAAAATTGGAGAATCAATTACAATCCATAAATCACACATAATCGACTCATTTTGTGAAAAGATAAGCTGACTTAAATTTGAATTCTACTATATGTGAAAATATGTTAGGAGATTTTGTTATTTTGTAAATAAATATTAATTAAAGATAGAAATGTAATATAAGACATATATGATGGCGAGTAGGGCAAATTCCTCAATAAAGTACATGAGTTCCAACCGTTTTACAAAGTTGAGGTTCATCCCACTATTTCTTTTATTTTTGATCGGTCATCCCACTCATAATTTTTAAACCCGGCTCGGGAATCGACCCAGGTAGATCTCTGGGTCACCAGTTCAACTGTCGCGTCAATTGCTGAACCGAATAATTAATTTTAAAAACTTTAATTATATATATATATAGTATTTTGTCATATAAATATACATAAAAGTAACAAAAATAAATGTTTTGTATATCAAATTTGTACATTAAAGTGTTTATAATATGTATTTCATGATAAATATTTACCATATAAATATATATACAATCTTATTTTTTATAAACAAAAAATATTATAAAAATAAAAAAATAATAAAAAAATATATAAGGGTCAGGCCAACCGGGTGACCCAGCCAAGTCAATGCATTTGGTTGATTAGGTCAATGCACCGGGTCGACTGGGTCAAAAGCAAGTTGGCCGAGCTTTGACCAAGTCTTTTGTTGCCCGGTCCAAATAGCCACCCAGACAGATTCCGGCTCCAGGTCGACTAGGTCCCGTGTCAACCACTCGCCGGGACGGTCCGGGTTGAAAACCACTGATCCCACTATTTCGTTCCTCTTTGTCCGCGAAATCACCTTGTAAAAAAATACTCCTCTCTTGTATTTCAATCTTTTTTTACTGTCATAATCTTTTCAGCACCAGAAATATTAAAAATTGAAAATTCTCCACCTGAGAGTGAAGATCGTCAATGGATGGTTCATTCGATGCCGCCCGCACGGGTGGCACTCATCAATGGATCCATCATTCAGAGACCTTTTTTTTAAAAAAAAAAAATCTTACTTTATTCGCTACCACAAACCTCGCACACGCAGAAGGGGGATTTATTTTTTATTTTTCTTAATTTCATGGAAAAGATTAAAGCAACTTAAAAATATTCATAAACATATCCCTCAATCCCTATGCCCACAAAGCCAGTGAAGACATCAACACCGCCCCTAGAAACAGAACAAAATAAGACACCACCTGCAGTCTAACATTGCAGCTCATTCTCTTGCTCAAGAAATCGGCTGCGATCAGATCCACCAATGCCATATACACCAAAATCCCAGCAGATATCGAGTCCAAAACACCCTCCACCACCAAAGCCCGCGGAGTGTTTGCATTATAAAACGATGAGATTCCGATCCCGACTGCTATCCCAAGCGGGGTCGTCACTGCAAAAAAGCAGGCCATGAGTGTCGAGTGGAGCCCACGAAATTTGGCCTGCGAGATGCACCCTCCCAAAGCAAAGCCTTCAAAGAACTGGTGGAAAGACAAGGCCCCAATTAAGGGTCTGATTGTGCACGGGCTGCGTGAGACCCCGAGAGACAGTCCAATGATCACCGAGTGTGAAACAATCCCAAGCTCGAGAACCTTTAATAAAACATATAGAGGATGATTTATATATCTGTTGTTCAAGAAAATGAAAGAAAAAAATAAAGAGAGAGAGACATTCCTTGCATCATTCAAATACATGAGTACACAAGTGATTATTATGACTCTATTTGAGTAGTTGTTAAGAAGCACATCGCGAGAAAATAGATTATGACATCCAAATAATCTGCTTCCAAATTAGTAATATAACAAATACCAACTTTAAAAAAAAAAAAAAAAAACATGCCTGTGAGACAACAATATGCCTGACCCCGCCTTCCTCATCCTCATCTTCAACTCCATGTCTGTGCCTGTGGCCGGCACAGGCTCCCTCCTCCTGCGGGTGGCTGTGCCCATGGTGTGCCGCGTGGGCTCGCATCCCTACAATGTGCATCGCCCCACCCTCCTCCTCACCGAACACCTTCCCCGACTCAATCATGCTACTTGATGCCCCATTCACCTGACTTCTCACGCCACCCTCCTGCTTCTGCTTATAATACTGTGTCCCGACAAAGTCAGCCAGCAGTGTGGCAAGGGCTGCCATCATGGTGATGAACCCAGAGAAGGGGAACTCGGACCAAGGATATTTCGGGAGGCATGGGTTGTTGAGCGCTGAAGTGGCATCCGGGAGAATATGGACGAAGCCTGTGGCCAGGATCACGCCCGCAGCAAAGGCCTTTGCAACGGAAAAGAGGTTGGAATCCGTGCGTAGGAAGCGCCGTTTCTTGCCCACCAGAGGGATAGAGACACCACAAATGCCAGCGGCAAGGATAGCAGCAATGGCCACGAGCTTCAGGACGAGCGCGTACGAGTCATCCCGGCAGCCAGCGTACGAGTCTTCATGCGCGCACGTGCTGCTTGACATTGACTTGGACATGTTCTGCACTAACGAGTCTTTTTGTTTACCCGCAAAACAAAGGAAAAAAAAAATACTCAGTTGTTCTAAATTGAATGAAAATTTGTAGTTGGTGAACTAACTGGACATTCTTTTCGTACGTGGTAAAGCAAACAAACACTCACAGAGAAATAAATAGAAGTGACAGACAGTCAGCAAAAAGAAATAAAGAGTATTGCTATTGCCTCCCCTCCCTAAACTTCCATACACTCACTTACTTTGTATTTGCCTAAAATCAGGCACTTTGCCACGAATTGATGTGTGGCATGTTAATAATATAAGTTACGGAATTACTTAAAAAAAAAAATTATCTTATTTAGCTGTTAACTTCATTGACCCCATATTTAATTATGTTCTGAGATCAGAATAGCAATTTGTACGGAGATTTATGAAGGACAACACAGCAACACTTGTATGTATTTCCACAAAAGCAAAAGTGAAGCAAAATGTGAAAACTCCCTCTAAGTTCAATAGCACAGTTCTATTGTGTAAACAAATAAAATACTAAGAATAATAATAATAATAATAATAATAAAACACGCAAACCCGGGAAATCCAAGTCCAGTAATCCCAATCATTCATCAATCCCTAGGCAAAATAATCAAAAATTTACCTGAATAAACCCGAATTTTCTCTCCGAAATTACCAGACCAAAGAACGGGCACAAGATCCTGCAAACCTCAATTCAAGCTTCAAATCAAGCGCACACAGAAAGGAACAAAAAAAAAATCGAAACAAAAACCACAAAACAAAAAGACGAAGAAAGATAAAAGGGCGAGTGAATACCTCCAGAAATGACATCGGCAGAAGGTAAAATGTTCCGCGTGGTTTTTGGAGCCTTTAGTGTTCAATTTCCTGCAAATTCAGGAAACGCGAATCTCTCTCTCTATACAAACGTGATTGAGGGGGTTGGGAGTTGTATACAAAAAAATAAAAAAAAAATAGAATCAAACAAGAGCGAGCTCTGACGAGTTCCAAGCCGATGACATGCGATGATGATGATGATGATGATATTCGTCAAATACAAAGGGATAGATATATATGTAGAGTGTAAATAAATGCAGAGTTTTAGAGAGATAAAGGGAGATGTCGACATATTTTTGGAGAGACGAGAGAGGATTGACACGGAGTTGCGTTTGCGTGCAAAAGAAACAGCTCAATTGTGTCGACACCATTGTGTAATTTCTCTCTTTGATGGAAATAAAAAATATATATTAAAAAAAATATATATATATATATATATATTTATTTTTATGTCACACACACACACCGTGCGGGCATGTGAACAACATCATTGAATTCGAATGCTTTTTTTTTTTTTTTTTTTTTTAAATTGTAATTTTACTCCTGTTGTCAATGACATTTATAGTCCTAAAAATTAAATATTTTTGTTGTTTGGTCCTATAATTTAACATTTGGTGCAATTTCAGTTATTTGGGTGCAACAAAATATAAAATTACACAATTTAAAATTGCTAATAAAAAAATTTTAGATAGATTTTTTATTAGCAATTTAAGTCCTATAATTTTAAATTTTGTTGCAATTTTTGTCCCAAATAACTGAAATTGCAGCAAAATACTAAAATTACATGATCAAACCTCCACTAGTCATCGAGGAGTGGAGATAGCTTATTGACCAACTGTATACTTACCAGCTTTTATGCTAGGGCTTGAAGCGCTGAGATGTTGCGTAGTGATAGGGTCCTCAAGGTGCCCGAATAGATTTGCGCAGAAAGGTAGGATTTTGCTGTATCGCGCGAGTGCGCACTCTCTTTTTCAGCTTGACAGGTCTTGGAATCGGCATTACCGCAACTTTTCTAGATGTTGGGACCAAAAGACAATAAGTTGGAATTTTGGGACTAAAAATGCTACGGCGTTAACCCATTGCCTTTTTTTTTTCCTTATTATCTTTACTTGTAAAATTTGATTTTCAGTAACTAGAGGTTATATTAGAATGGTGCCCTGTAGTGTTTTTTTTAATATATAATAATAATAATAATAATAATAATAATAATAATAATAATAATAAATGGCATAGTTGTTCTATTGTTTGGGTTTTAAATTTTCAAATGAACCAAATTAATATGACGTGATATACGTAATATACATGTTGACATAATTTAATGTGCTGAATAATGTGACCTGTTACACGTAATATATGTGAGTCAACGTATAAATAAAATGCATTATAAGTGAGGTTTCAAGTATTTCATATTGAAGATGTCTTGGTTTTTAAAATGACTCGGTTAAGCTAATGATTCAATGGTTCACTTGCTCCGATCAATGGTTGAATCGATTGAACTGGTTATCGAGCCTGTGAGCAGCCTTGGAGCTGGAAGTTTTATCCTCGGTGATGCCATCAAAGGAATCCCTAGTCAGAAGGAGAGCGATTTTGCTTACGACGATTTACGTGCCCCGATATCCCATGCCAACGAAGGCCCTGAAACAAGCCCCATAATTCCGCGCTTGGCGCTCTAACATTACCAACACTGACCACTGAATAAGAAAGACCTACCACCCACACAGAAAACTTTTTTATCTATCTCCTTAACTTTGTCATTTTTGAAAAGTGCTTGCCTTGCCTCTTTCTGCCTTCGTCGTTCCCCTGGACCTTCCCCGCAGATTGCCTGCTATTCCTGCTACTCCTACTTCAGTGCTTGGTTAAAAGGCTGATAACAAAGGAGCTTCTCAAATCTTCTCTCAATTACACTGATCCTCTTGTTCAATCTTATTGGCTTAGCCTGGAGAGTTTTTATTTAGTTTATATGTATAATATAACTATATATATATAGGGATTGGATCCAATGAGTCCACATATTTAAAGTGTGAATGTGAGACCCATTCCTAGCCATTAGATTGGTACATTATGTGTGGCTAAGATTAACTCTTCAATTAAATAATAATTCTTTATTTTTATTACTTATTTCTTTATTTTATTATTTTAATTATTTGAATATTATTTTGACAATTGACATTGACTTCAGCGTTGACCGTTGACTTCCGGCGTTGACCTTTGACTTTCGGCGTTGACTTTCAATATTGATCGTTGACCCTTAGCATGCATTGTGTATGAAGTAAATATGCATCAGTACTATGCACTTAGTATGAACTAAATATGCATCATAAATGAATAATGAATTATATATGTTATCCTTATGAACTAAATATGCACCAGTAATATCAACTATGTATGCACTGTTTATGTACTAAATATGCACATTTTACTAACTAAGTATGCATCATGAATGAACTAAATATTCAACGAAGATATGCAATAAAATATACATTTTATACAGTTAAATTAAATATAATAATTAATGATTTTTATTATATAATTAATTTTAATTTTAAATTGATTAATAACACAAATAAATTGTTATGACTGGATCTCAAATAAAATAGGTATGCACTTAGTATGAACTAAATATGCATCATAATTGAATTATATATGTTATCCTTATGAACTAAATATGCACCAGTAATATCAACTATGTATGCACTGTTTATGTACTAAATATGCACATTTTACTAACTAAATATGCATCAGGAATGAACTAAATATGCAACGAAAATATGCAATAAAATATACATTTTATACAATTAAATTAAATATAATAATTAATGATTTTAATTATACAATTAATTTTAATTTTAAGTTGATTAATAACACAAATAAATTGTTATGGTTGGATCTCAAATAAAATAGATATGCACTGTTCATGAACTAAATATGCATTTCGTAAGAATTGAATATGTATCATGAATTAAGTAAATATGCATAATAAATTAATTATATAAATATTATTATATATTTAATTTAAATATGACAAGTATGCATTTC